ATAAAGGATTACTAGGGAGAATGAAAAACAGACATTATCTTATGAAAGAATCTGTTCAGGTGGTTACATTCTTGATCTTTAAGGGAGGGAAAGAAAAAACAATTCTTGAAAGTTCTTTTTGGTGGGTCTGGACTTTAGGCAGATAAAGGAATATAATTTAGAGAACAACTTTATCCTGGCTTTGGGAGAGTTAGTAGAGGTGGGGAAATCAAAGAGGCCTTGAGGTTTCTTCTTCAGTTCAGCATGGCAAAGAGCAATAGATCCGGGGGTATTAGTGTCTGAGTCCCAGCAGCATGCACTTGTGTGTAATCAGAAGATTCAGTTTTCATTAAACCAACAATATCAAATTAGTCTTATTTATCAAAAATTACTAAAGTCACTTGAACTTAAAAGCATTTGGGCTTATTAATTTATGAGTACTCCTTTATTTATAAATCAGTTTGGTCCCATATAGACACAACATATAACATAATACATGTACACACACACACACACACACAAAGATGCAATAGTTTTTACTTCAGAACTGTAGCCATGAGATATCAATACAAACTGGTTTGTGAAAGATGGTCAGATCTAAATTACATTCCTGATAAGATTGAGACCTGTTCACAAGGCTAAACTTTAGTTGCCCCGATGGGTAATGTAATAAAGGCTATGGACCAAAATTTTGGGTAAAGCAGTTTCCATGAAAGTTTGATTTTAAAAAAACCTCTTTTGCCCTTTTTGCCTTCAGTTTCAAATGAGTTTTCAATGTTTACATTTTAGCTAGGACTGGCTGAACTATAATAGAAAAACAAGATCTCCAAGTAGCTCTGAATTAGTAATACCATACACAATGAGTTTATCTCAACATCAATAGAAAAGGTCAACAGATTCAAAGTAGGCAGAAAAGAAAATATATAGAGAGAGAGCTTAGAAAATTCTATATTTTAACTCTATAATTATAGGTTGATCGTTTGAGTTATGTACTTTTCTTGATATAATTTTCCCATCAGCTAAAAGTGTACACAAGAATGGGCCATAATATGTAACCAGCTGGCTCAGTTAAACCTGGCATGTCTTTGAGCCTTTCCATTTATACAAATACGTGCAAGTGCAGGCACCATAAAACCAACTGGAGGGGCCATTCTTCCTGTCTTTACTCATTTTTAGAGAATTTGTTTCCCAGTGTTTTTTTCTTTTTTAAAGGAGGAACTGAACTATAGTTTAGGGTTCAGTGCTGAGAAGTTCAGTCTATCATTGTCAATGAAAAGGACAGTTTGGTTTCTCATACAAATGCACAGAAAAGTCAATAGAAATTCATTTTGGGAGGAAAAGGTAATGGGGAAGACACTTTAGAATGTACCTCCAAATCAAAATTAGGATCACAAACAACAAGTTCTTAGGAAAAGAACAGATAGCTCAAAATAAACCAAGGACCACCAATCAAGAGTGGGAGGTCCAGGACTCAGGAGGACTTACCAGTTCTACCCAAGGAGAAGCTTGGAGTCAGGGTGATGTCAAGGGGGCCCGTGCTGATACCAAGTTTGGGCTACTCCTTTGGTGGGTCCTGAGTCTTCCCTGAGTGCCATCAATTGTTAACAGAAAGAAAACCTCTGTAAAATAATTTAATAATTCTGAGCAACATGAGTGACCTCGGCTTAGGGATACACAAACAAAAGAAGCCTTGAGTAAGTGATCCCAAGGTGGTTGGATTACAGTTTGGTTTTATACATTTCAGGGAGATAGGAATTGCAGGGAAAATCATAAATCAATACATGGAAGTTATACATTAATTTGGCCCAAAAAGGAGAGACATCTCAAAGTGGGGGCTTACAAGTCATAGGTGTATTTACAGGTTCTTTGGCTGGCAATTGGTTGAGAGAGTTAAACTTTGTCTAGAAATTTGGAGTCAGAAGGAAGGAATGCCTAAGTTAAGATAAGGAAGTCTGCTAATCCGAGGCAGGAGGATCGCTTGAGCCCAGAACCCCAAAATGAAGGTGAGGGCAAGGTTGATTCTTTCTGGAGGTTCTGAGGAAGAACACATTCCACATCTCCTTCCCAACTTCTGGTGGCTCCAGCAACCCTTGGCACTCCTTGGCCTGTAGCCACATGGATAATCTGTGTCCTTTTTCACATAGCCCATTTCTCCTGCCCTTACTTTTCATATAATGATTGTGTTTAGGGCCTGTCCCATCCAGGATGATCTAATCGTGAAATCTTTAGACTAATTACACCTGCACAGACCCTTTTTCTATATAGGGCCACCCCCCTTCACAGGTTCTGGGCGGATGTATCTTTTAGGGAGCACTGTCAACCCTCTATAGGATCCAGGTTTATCTTTCTTCATGCAGTGAGCCAAGTTCTCCAACCTTCTCTGCCAAATAGCTCATGTTCTCCCACTGACTTGTGATGTCATCCCATTCGGGCTCTAGGTGCCCATGTGCAGCCCATGCCCATGGGTTCTGCTTTCTAGTCCATTTGTCTGCTTGTGTTTTTTGCCACTACCACATTGCTTTTACTGCTGTGATTTTGCAATATGCCTTAATATGTGGTAGAGCAAGTCCCTACCTTGGCTCTGTGTTTTAAAAAATGCCTTACTTTTTCAAGAACTTTAATTTTCCATATACATTTTACAATCAGTTTATGACTCCCACCTCCCCACAGTCCCTTGGGATTTTGACTGGAATCTTACTGACTTCATAGATTTATATGGAGACACTTGACATTTTTAAGACATTAAGTCAGGCCATCCATGAATCAGTGATGTCCCTCTATTTATTCAGGGCCTCTTTTATGTCCTTTAATAGAAGGGAGATCTTGCGTACTCTTTCTTAGGGCAATTAGAGAGGGACGAGCACTTGACAGTTTACAAATGGTACATTTTTATATATCTGTTCTTCCTGGAGTCCTATCATCTATATTCTACAGAAAAGGGAATTGAGGCTGCGAAAGATGAAGGAACCTCCCCAAGGACACACAATAGTGACAGAGCTCAGCCCCTGTGGGCATGTGGCATACATACTGGAAACCACCCACCTTGCCTCCTGTCCCAGTAAAGGCCTAAGTGGATAGATCTGTCACCAGTCAATCTCTCGCTGACAAGGCTAGGCAGGGGACATACTGGGGGCCAGCCCACAGTTGAGCACTTTAAGATCTGCAAGAGAGACGTGGTGGCATAGATATACAGAAGAATGATGAGAACACAGGTCACCTCGACCTGCTGGGCAAGGGCCTGCTTAGATGAAGATCTCAAGGTCATGTCACTTGTCTGGAGCCTGGTGCTAAAGGGTATGTTGGTGACCCCACAGCCATGGCTTCCTTCTCCCTTGCTGGCATCCTTGTCCCCAACCCTAGGCACAGTCTGAATGGAGGCTGGCAAGAACCTAGTCAGGGTGGCCAAGAGAGGCCCAGGGAAGTGCTGGCTGAAAGGTTCAGTGCTTGCTGGGAGGATGGTGGTGACTGCATCCGGATCTTTAGAGGCTGCCCAGCACAACCTGGCCCACTCTAGGGGCTGCAGCCCATTGTTCCACATGGCCTGGGCCACTCACAGGCTATCCAGGCAGCGGGCCAGCAGGGACACATCCATGTGCTGCAGCATGGCCCCTAGCAGCAGCTCCAAAGCCTGGCTGTTCTCATGGCAGAAGTTGACTAGGCTACAGTGGGCCCGCTGGGCCATGGAGAAAGGGGCCAGGCTGGCCTCCCACCATAGGTGCTGCAGGACCTGCAGGAGGCAGCAGCAGGCTCCATGGATCAGGGTAATGAACAGCTGTAGGCTCCAGACCCACGCAATGGTCAGCAGCTGCCACAAGGCTCATTGAACAGGCAGCAGCACCTCCATGTACAGTCTCCGGGCCAGGATGAGGGTGAGCCCCCATCTACCAGTAGGCTGCTGCACCACAGGATGCAAAGGCCCAGCCTGGACACCGACAGGCAACGGGAGGCTGTATTTGTCATCTCTGCCTGTGGCCCCAGCAGGGACCTATAGCTGTTCAGCAGGCCCAGGGCACAAGGCCACATGGGAGCAGGAGCAGGAGCTGCCAGACAATCCTGCCCAGCCAGCATCCCCTGACAGCTGGTGATGGCAGGGGGCCTTCATGACCCAAGGGCTGTGTGTCTAGGCTCCCACCCCAGGGACATGGGACTGTGCTTGTGCCACAAGCTCTTACTGACTGATCCTCTGAACAAAGCACTACTGAACTCAAGCGATCCTCCTGCCTCAGCTTCCCAGAGTGCTAGGATTACAGGCTTGAGCCACCTCTGTAGCAATTTTAGTAGTCTTATTTGGTCTGTGAGAGTGGCCATCTTGTTCCCCTTTGTATTCCTGCGGCCTGGTGCAGTACGTGGCACACAGCAGGCTTTCAGTAAGAATTTCTTTTTGCTCATGACTCCAGAGCTCCTTGTTCCATGAGGGGGTTATTGGACCCCAAGTCTATGTCGTGAAAACCCAACGTAGAGTCAGACAGACTTGAGCTGTCCTTCATTAATTATACTTTTGTTAAGTAAGTAACATCTTGGCCAGAAGCTTAGTGTTCTCTGCAAAAAGGGGACAATACAGGCCATAATCCCATGTCTACAATCCTGAAATTAAAAAAAAATAAGAAATTCACGACCCTGGGTCGTGAGACCGTTTGGCAGCCTTGGGACGCACCTCGCCAACTCAGAGACTCTCTGAATTAAGTGCGGGACACTGCAGCTGGATGCTGAGAGCAATGGCCGAGAAACGGCTTGAGGGAGGGGTGCCCCAAATCAAGAGGCAAGTTGGAAAAACCAGGTCGAGAGCCAGGAAACTTGGGGTTTCAGTCTTTCCGATTCCAGAGGTGATGACATGTCACACAGGAAGACATGCGGCCATGTTTCGTCATCATTGTTAAGTTTGGCTGCTGCCGAACGCCGTAGATTTGTTGCACTCCAAATACTTAACCAGCGCATCCGCGGCTTTTCACTAAGTTTGAACCCAACGACGCGCCGTAGAGTCTTTAATTTGTGTCTCTGAAGCTGACGATCCGTTCGGAACGAACGCTAGGCGTGGAAGACTGTGCGCGGAAATCGCGCCCGGGGCGTGACCCCCGACCTGGCGTCCGCCGGGGGCGCGCGCTCGCACGCCGGAAGGGGTGGAGCCAGACTTGGTCTTATATAGCGTGCGCCCAGAGTCGGCCGGCCTCTAGCGGCGTGATTTGGCGGCGGGATGGTACGTATTGTTATGGACTTCCTTCTTGGTCCCGGCGTTGGCGTGGCTGAATCCGCGGCGCATCGTCGCCATCTCGCCTTCGCCAGTGCCAGATATCTGCTCTAGGAGCGTAGGAGACACGGTGGGGGCCGCAGTGAGGTCTCTTTTCTGAAAACTCGCGAGGCTTGTGGAAAAGGGCGAGTGGAGGGCCCTGGGCCTGCAGATCCGGCCGGAGAGGCCTTGGTGTGGGAGCAGGCCTGTGGGCCCGACACTTTTAAATTCACGGGACTTTTCCGGGTCACAACCTCACCTATTTTAGCCATAATCGAGATAAGATCCCGTGAGCAGTATGCGGGGCCGGGAGGACCTTGAGTGGGGCCCTAGGCATTCTTACCAAGCCGGGAGCTGAAGAATCTTGCGGGAGGGAAGACTTAGGGTGAGGGTTGAGGCTCCCTTCTGGAACCTGGGACGGTTGGTGCAACTCGAAACGCTTCTGGGGTTCGCAGAAACCACAGGTGATGAACTTACTGACGGGCGGACAGAGACACTGTGCTGATTGTCACGTTCTGATTTGGTTCTGTCGAGTTCTAGCGGCCTTCGTGTATTAGTCTAGCTCTTCCGTCCCGGAGCTGGAGGAGTCTAGTACGATTACTACCCAACCGTTTGTCCCAGCCATGAGTGCTGTTGGTGGTCAGATTATAGATGATTGTTAATATAATGAAGCCAATTGTTATGTGGCTTTCAGTGCTATTACTTAGTATGTTTTTGTCTGATGTTAGAGTGAAAAAGTAAATGGCTAACTTTTTCAAAAACCGAGATGAGTTGGAATAAAAGTTAAGCTCATTTTGTTGAGTTTTAATACACTCATCAGGATGTGTGCAATCCTGGGAAAATTGAACTTGATATGTAATCCTCTTACCAGCATTATTGGATTTAGGTGTGGTTAAGATTCAGCATTGCTGAGACCATTTAGAGCTAGGCAGCTGGGAACTGAACTGGAGGGTTTTGGGTGCTAATACTGGTTGTTCCTTCCCAGTCTCACAGGAAGTTCTCAGCTCCCAGACACGGGTCCTTGGGCTTCTTGCCTCGGAAGCGCAGCAGCAGGCATCGTGGGAAGGTGAAGAGCTTCCCCAAGGATGATCCGTCCAAGCCTGTCCACCTCACAGCCTTCCTGGGATACAAGGCTGGCATGACCCACATCGTGCGGGAAGTCGATAGGCCAGGATCAAGTATGTACAGGTTGCATCCTCCAAGTTGGGGGGATAGGAGTTGAGAGTGGGGAAACGTAGGTTATCGGGATCCTTCTGATTGGGAATTAATCTTCAGGATTAATCCACAGATTACAGATGGCTGGTACTGTTTGCTTTAGGCAGAGGAATATTTTTGAAGTCAGGGGCATGACATGAGTACATTTTCCAAGAGCCGCAGCATAGAGGAGTATGTTAGCTTGGGTGATTAGAGACTGGGATAGAAAATGCCTCATTCACACGAGTATCACTTAAAAGCTTGAATAATACCCATTTACATGGGTTTTGGTGAAGTTAAAACTGGAAAAATCACTAAGTAGAACCGCAGCACTTGTCACTGAGCCATGGTAGATGGTAACACTGGGCAGCATTTTCTATTCCAGGCCAAGTTCAGTGCTTATTAGTTCGCCCTGTTATATACTCTGGACTCTGTACTGTCATGATAAATAACAAATTTGTCTGCCTTTAGAGATCTGACAGGAAGAGAACTGAAGCCAGACTGGTATTTGGCTGACTAGGTCTTGTTTTTTATTTTTCTCTCTCTGATTAAGTACTGACTATACAGAGCAAGGGGGTCATGGTATTTTTGGTTTAGCGTGACAGGTGTGGATGCAGGGAGAGGGAAAAGTATGTAGTAAGGACAGCTCTGGGATTCAGACTGCTGGTGTGGGCTTCACATAAGTTTCCCTGTCATCCAAAGCAGGTTGCCCTCAAACTGGCCTAAGGGGGCTCCTGTCAGGCTACTGAAGTCTACCTGCTTTCCCCCCAGAGGTGAACAAGAAAGAAGTCGTGGAGGCTGTGACCATTGTGGAGACGCCGCCCATGGTGGTCGTAGGCATTGTGGGCTATGTGGAAACTCCTCGAGGCCTCCGGACTTTTAAGACCATCTTTGCTGAGCATATCAGCGATGAGTGCAAAAGGCGCTTTTACAAGAACTGGTAAGGGAGGAGCAGGCTTGTAGTCCCTGGGTTAGGGGCTGGAGAGCAGGGAGCACCCTAGGGCCTCTCAGTTATGCAGCAGGGGAGGAGCTGCTGCTCAGTTCTCAGGTTTAATTTCCTCATGAGCATAAAACTACCTGAAGACAGACCTTGACTCCCAGTCATTGGGTTTCTGAGCTTGGAGCTGACGCCTTAATTTTGTGTCCAGGCTGGGTGTTGGCTTAGGATCCAGTAATTACCTTGTTTGCTGAGTCCAGCAAGAAACTGGGAAAGATGAGCAGGATAATTCAGCCCAGAAAGGATGGCAAGGGCCTTGGGCCCTGGCTCGAATTTCCCATTACCTTTACTGTGAGGATGGTGCCTCCCCGAAGGTAGAGAAAGCTGCTTTCAAGCACCCTCAGAATGAGAATTTGTCTGTTTTGAACATTTGTGACTTAAATTAACCTTGTGGACCTCTGCTCAGCTCCTCTCGGCTCTGCCCGATGAGCTCCATCTAGGCTCCGCTTGCCGGTGGAAAAGGCTCCTTAGAAGCCGGCAATGAGCCCCATCCCCACGTGGTGCCATGTGCCTTCCGCTCACTCCTCCTGAGGGGTGATGAAGGCCTGCACCCGGCCCCTCCCCAACTCTGCTCTGCTCCTGAAGGCATAAATCTAAGAAGAAGGCCTTCACCAAGTACTGCAAGAAATGGCAGGATGAGGATGGCAAGAAGCAGCTGGAGAAGGACTTCAGCAGCATGAAGAAGTACTGCCAAGTCATTCGCATCATCGCCCACACCCAGGTAAGCACCACCATGCTGCCAAGGGTGGGGATAACTGCCTGCCACTTCCTCCCTGGAGGTGACCTACCCTGTGAGGTTTTGAATATGAGGGTCCAGTACCCCGCATTTGTGAATAGGCCTCTTGCTTGCCAGCAGAGGGCACTGTGTCCTTCCTGGCTCTTGGCAAGGGAAACCATACTCTATTTGGGGAATATTCAACTGGCTGATCCAACTGGTGACTCCTGATAAACATTGAAGTGCCATGCTGAAAGTAGTCCTAAAATGTTGGCTGGATGCTCTTTCAAACCTGGCTTGCTGTGAGCTGTTGGAGCCCCATGTTGGCCTGGTTAGAATCCTCTGGCTGTTTCATGTGCTCAATACAGCCCCATGTGGCTAGGGGCCACTGTTTATTAGTACAGATGGTAGTATGTTTTTGTTATTGAAAGTCTTGGAGGACGTTGCTGGGCTACCCTTTAAATGGAAGGTTTGACCCTAAGTGCGTTTCCTCATTTAACCCTTAAGGCTTGTCCTCTTGACTTCTGTGTTCTCGAAAGCAGACTTGTTGCTAGAGCAAGCATGGGCAGCTAGGGGGAAACTGGTACTACCCTCACAGGAAATGTGGCCAGGGTAGAGATTGAACAGGGAGCTGGTGGGGGCCGGGATCTGCTTGTTGCATGTCTTGGTGTGGGCCCCACTGGCTCATCCTGACTGTGATTCAGGTACCAGAATCCAAAGTTGAATTGCTGGTATTGGCAAAAACAAAGGTAGTTTTTGGTGTGTGTGTTTCAGAAAGACTTGTTTGAGTTAAGCTTTCCTGTTGTCATGGCTTTGATACCAGACCGCAAGCCCCAGCCTCAGTGCCTCTGCCAGGAGCACTGGAAGCTCGAATCTAAGCTGTGCATGTCCTCCTAGATGCGCCTGCTTCCTCTGCGCCAGAAGAAGGCCCACCTGATGGAGATCCAGGTGAACGGAGGCACCGTGGCTGAGAAACTGGACTGGGCCCGGGAGAGGCTAGAGCAGCAGGTCCCTGTGAACCAAGTGTTTGGGCAGGACGAGATGATCGATGTCATCGGGGTGACCAAGGGCAAAGGCTACAAAGGTGAGCTCCATAGACTCCAGTTGCTGTGGTCTCAGCCCACCTGTTCAGCAATGAGGCCTGGAATGTGCGCTAGGCACGGTGCCCCGAGTCAGACTGCGGAACCATTCCTGTTGCCTGCCTTCTGAGAACAGCCCTGTGGACGTGGCTGAGGTGGGGCAGCAGGGGCTGCCCCTTGCTCTGCACCCCCTGCCAAACACAAAGGGGAGCTTCCAGTGGGAGAACATCGACATAACAGATAGCTTAAAATGGCGTGTCCTTATGCCTACATTTAGAACTTAGGACTCTGGATTTACGTGTGTATCTAGGCAGGTGTCCAACTTGACAGGAAATACAAGAGGAGATATGGGGGTAATGCAGATTGAATAACCGTGTCTGTCCCTTAGATTACCCAGTCGCTGGGTAGTAATTATTTATGGAATTGAAGTTGAGCATTCACAGCAAGAAAAGGGCGAGTGGGTAAGTGCCAGGCCCTGAGGTGCAGTAATGGCATGTGTCCTTTCCAGGGGTTACCAGTCGTTGGCACACCAAGAAACTGCCCCGCAAGACCCACCGAGGGCTGCGGAAGGTTGCCTGTATCGGGGCCTGGCATCCTGCCCGTGTGGCTTTCTCTGTGGCACGGGCTGGCCAGAAAGGCTACCATCACCGCACAGAGATCAACAAGAAGGTGAGGTTCTGAGGGTGGTTCTCTGGGAGAGGGGCTGTGGTTGCTGTCCCTGTCGTTGCTTCATTGGTTGTACAGCTTCTGAGCATCATGGACTTCAGTTGTCCATATCTCGTGGGTCTGTTCTGGCTCTTGGGTGTTGGGGTGATTTGTACAGTGCCCCTCTTAAAGGCGTCTTGGTGGAGCTGGCCGTTGGTGTGGCTGCGGCTGAGAGTCTGTTCTTTGGGTCTGCCTCCAGGGAGGTTTTTTGAGTTTTCCATCCATCTGCTGCCTTGTTCAGCAGGGTCTTTAGTTTGGGTCCAGCCACCTTCCAAACCATGGGCTGTGTTTGTAGGTGCCCCACTGGAGTGCTTTGTAGGCCAGCCTACTGGCATGTGGGTTTTTTTTTTGTCCTTAATGTCTTGTCACCCTGCGTCCAACCTATCTTGCCTGGGGGACCAGCCCCTCTGGGCCTGCTCCCTGCCCCCCTTTACAGGTTACTTACGAATTTCTCCTTGTCCAGATCTATAAGATCGGCCAGGGCTACCTTATCAAGGATGGCAAGCTGATCAAGAACAATGCTTCTACCGACTACGACCTGTCTGACAAGAGTATCAACCCCCTGGTGAGTGATGCTGCCCCCTGAAGCCACCCCAGGCCTCTTCTGTGGGGTTGAGGGGGCTGGTGCTATTGGGGCACAACACCCAGTGGTGGCATGGTGTAATGTGAGCCCACTGCTTCGGGTTGCTGGGGAGAAGTGGGTCGTAGGCGTAGCTGTTCAGTGATGAGGCCTGGAATGCGCTGGGCACAGCGCCCGAGTCAGACTGCGGAACCATTCCTTGTTGCCTTCCTTCTGAGAACAGCCCTGTCTGTGGTCAGGGGTGGCTGGTGTGGGGGGCTGGGTGACCTGAAGTTTGAAGAGTCATTTCCACAGAATGATTCCCTGTTTGTCTTGCTTGGTCTGAGCTGACCCTGTGGCCTTGTTTGATTTCAGGGTGGTTTTGTCCACTACGGTGAAGTGACTAATGACTTTGTGATGCTGAAAGGTTGTGTGGTGGGAACCAAGAAGCGAGTGCTCACCCTCCGCAAGGTGAGGCAGTGCCCTTCCTGTTTGGTTGAGTGTGGCCCTCTGGGATCCTGTGGCCAGGAGGATCACAAGTCCGTGGACACAGTGATAGGAAAGTGCAGAGGAAGGGGGGTTTGAGTACTGCTTTAACGGAAGCTTTGAAGTCCCAGACGAGGAAATTCCCGGCTTGGCCTTGTGGGGCTGTTTGCTTTGTTCATGTGTGTCCTCATCCGGCTGGAGGGACACAGTTGGGCCAGGAGATGGCGATGGTTGTGGGGGGAGGACTCTTGCCTTCAGTTGATCCTGTGACTTCCCAGACACTCTTCATAATTGTAACTAACTGCCCCTCTTGGCCCACAGTCCTTGTTGGTGCAGACCAAACGGCGGGCTCTGGAGAAAATTGACCTTAAGTTCATCGATACCACCTCCAAGTTTGGCCATGGCCGGTTCCAGACTATGGAGGAGAAGAAGGCGTTCATGGTAAGCACCTCCTGCTTGCTCCCTCACTGGGGTTGGGGTGGCTCCATCGGCCTGCTTTGGGTGCTCTGTGTGGTGTTGGTGCAGAAGGAAGCAGCTAGGCTGCCTCTTGGGTCCTACAAAAGAACTCTATGCCTTAGTGACCCAGAATCTTGGTCCCCTTTAGAGTGTCAGTATCCATGCTGTCCACCTGCCTAGTCTACCCCTGACCTTACCTACTGCATCTCTCCCTACAGGGACCACTTAAGAAGGACCGAATTGCCAAGGAAGAAGGAGCTTAATGTCAGGAACAGATTATACAGCTGGTGGGATCTCAATAAAAGTTGTTTTCCAGTGACATCTGCCTCTGACTTTGCTGGAGGGAAGCAGCGGTAGGGGGGGGCAGGCAGTAGCCTGAGGGGCCTTTGCTGCTCTCCTCTCCTTAGCTGCACTTGGTCTGCACTTTGACCCCCACCTGCCTGGAGGGAGGTAAAGAGCTAAGCTTGGGTCTGATGAAAGCCAGCCTGGGGCTTTGTGTAATGTTTGTCACCTGGGCGAGGCAGCTCTGCCGGAGAAGTCAGTTCTGTTTGCACAGCTTGGGTGATGCCAGAGCTGTAGAGAGGGGAAGACAAGGAGGACTGGATGTTCCCTGACGCCTTTGGCGGGGGTGATTAGCGTGGCATGACAGACCCTGGGTCTGTTGCATGTGCAGAAAAGTTCATCGAACTTGTATAATCCATGCAGGGGTGGCTTCCAGTAAAGGCTTGTCTAGGTTCTTTTGTAACTTGTGTAGCTGAGGTCTGGGAGAGGCTGATGCCATACAGAAGTCCTATGCAGCACCTGGAGTGCTGACTTGGAGGAAGGCTTTAGTTTGTCCACCCAGCCTCATTACACAGGGGGGCACTGGGCCCGCAGCAGCCTGCCCAGGCTCAGCCCCTTGGCAACCTAGTAGTAGCCCATGCCCTTTGAAGGGGCTGTGTCTGTTTTGGTCTGGAGTCTTCTGGGGCTTGGGCTGGCAGAGTCCCCACTCCCCACTGGGGGTGTGACAGGCCCTCTTCTGGTGAGTGGCTGGCTGGTGGAAGACTGATCTGGCCTACCCTGAAGCCAGGTGACCCAAGCTGTAACATGGGCCCTACCTGGAGGCTCAGATTCTGGCTGCTGCCTTTGACCTTGTGCTGCTGTGGCTGCATGCTGTGTTCTGCCTCAGCCACACTGAGCTAGGTGTGGGCAGAGCCCACAGCTGGAATAGCTGACTGCCCCCTGCCTACACAGTGACTGGCACATCCAGGAGTCCTCTGGGTTCACCTGCATGTCTCAGCTTGCCCATCAGTATGGGGTGGGGACAGAATCCTCAGTACAGGGTGCATCTGCAGGCTCAGGGCATTGTGCTATGCCAGATTACCAACTGGGGAGATGGCTTGTCCCAAGCTGGTTCCCTGTGAGCATGGGGCATGAGCGAGGTGAGGTTTTAAAATGTCCCATGGTCATCAAAAGCTAGTGGAGTGTGCAGTGGGAACCTACCCCATGTGTTCACTTAGCATTTCTCCACCTGCTTCTGAACTTGGCATGGGGGAGGAGGCCCCAAGGCCCACTCTGGCTTCTGCAGAACCCCCTTCCATGGTGCCTCTCCCTGGCTCCTGTGGCCTGGGCCTGGGTGGCCGCAGCTGCACTGCAGGCTGGAGCCGCCAGGGGGTGAGAGCAGCACCTGGCTGGGCCAGCCCTGGAGGAGGGCCCAAGTCCCCTTCCTCCTCACCAGCATCTGGGTGTTTCACATAGTCCTGAGAGTCAGGTGCACAGGTGGAGGGGTGAGGACCTACTGAGGCAAGGCCATCAGGTACCTTATTTAGTGACAGAGCCAGGCATGAGACCTGGTCTCCTGGGTGGTGGCTTTGGGAGACTCATCAATTTCCCCAGGTCAAGTCCTGCTGTGGGCCCTGAGCTGGCGTGGGGGTGCCCAGCCTACCCCCTGCTGTCCTTAGCCTCTTAGCCTGTACCCGTGGCTTAGGCTGGGGCTGGGCCTGGAGCCCCATTACCTGCCCAGCCTGGGTAGGAATGGCCTTGCACCTGCCCCGGGCTCTGTGCCCATGTGTGGGCACGGCCAGGATGAGTGGGGATGTGGGCTCCAGGAACAAAGGCACATATGTATGTGTCCACACGCAAGCATCCAGGGCCACACACGTGCAGGCTGCAAGTGGAGGCAGGCACCACACCCACACCTGTCCATGTGTGTCACCAGTGCACAGAAAGCCCTTGGGCAGGCTTGCCTGACGGGGGCTGGTCCCTTGCTGGTAGCCACTCCCATATCCCGTCTTCCTTGTCTCTGCCCTGCCTGTGGTCAGTGGGGTGGCCTTGGGCCCATCCCAGCATAGTTCCCAGCCTCAACCTCCATATCTTGGTCCTTTGAAGGAAATGGAGGTGCAGTGGTTGCGAAGGCTATGAGCAGCAGCTCCTAGCAGGTGCACGGAGCGGCTGTAGCTGTTGGGATGGGTGATCGGCTTTGTGGGCAGCACCTGGAGCCGGCCACCCAGGTGTGGGGTCAGCTTCCAGTGCCTGCTCTGGGGACACTGGCGCAGTGCAGGTGCTGGGCAGCAGTTGTGAACGCAAAGGCCCTTCTCTCCAGGAGCCTCATTCCAGCTGGAGGGGCAGACAGCAGAGGAACAAGACTAGAAGTGCTGGCTGCTGGGAGGACATAAAACAGGCCACTGGCATACAGTGATGTCAGGTGAGGGGTTGGAGGAAGGCTTCCTTGAGACCTGAAGGTGTTGAGGATCCAGCCCACGAAACTCTCTGGGGAGAACAGCCAAGCAGGGCAGCAGCAGGTGCAAAGGCCCTGGGGTAGGAAGGAAGCTCTGGGCCCAGATGGAGCTCCCAATGGGGGGGGGTTCTGTGAAGGTGGGCTGTGCCCACCTGGCTGCCTACTGGACCCTGCCCCTCCCTAGCACAGAGCCACGCTCATAGTAGGTGCTCAATAAGTGCTTACTGCAGGTCCCTGCCTCACTGGAGCGGGAGCCTGCAGGGGTCCCCGGCATTTCTGAGGGCCTGCGGTGGGTGGGGCAGCTGGTCTCTGTCTCTCCGCCCGTGCCCGTGCATGTCACTGAGGGTGCCTCTCCAGGTGCCTGTTGGCATGTGCTTCCTGTCACGCTTTGCTCTCACCAGAACCCCAGACAGGCCTCGCCGGAATCTTGCGGTGACAGAACAAGGAGTCTCATTCCATTCCTCCTGACAAAAAAAAAGAAAAAATACCTGCTGGGAATTTCTGAGCAAGTGGGAACAGGGAGGTGGTGGTGGGAGCCACCATCACCTTAAAAGGCACGACAGAGCCAGTGACTTCGCCTAGCTCGCCTAGGGCTGGCCGAGGGGAGGGTGGGGGCTGGCTGCCACCCTGTGAGCTCACCCCTAACCGTTCTCGGCCCTAGATCCCCGTTGATGGCCCGTGCTGGTGGGGACTGTGCCACTCGGCCCTGGGTCCCCCCTGCCCTGAGCGCCCAGCCCGCGCTGCCGACAGCTCAGCCTCCTCCCTCCGTCTGCAGCACACCCTGTTCTCCGTGCAGTGCCCTGCGCTCCGCCTGGCACTCGAGGCCTGCCTGCCCCTCAGCACACGGCCCTCCTGCGACAGCCTCCTGCCCCGCACCCAGGAGCCCAAGCAGCTTCGCCTCCCCGTGCGAATGCTATGTTTTCCCAGTCTGATCACCGGGAGGGCTGGGAAGTGACTGACAGGTGACAGTGTCTACAGGGTGGAGATGCTGGACCCAGGGATGAGACATGTCGGCTCGAGATTGCATCACGCTAAAACTTATGCATTGTTTATTTCTGGAGTTTTCCGTGTAATATTTTTGGACTGCGGGTAACTAAAGCCATAGAAAGTAAAACTGGCTAAGAGTTGGAGTGAGGGAGGAAGGGAACATCCAGGAAGCTTCCAGGGCCCTCACCAGCCCCTGGCCCACAATACCCAGCGCTCACATTTGCTTTGAGGCGGCGCCAAGCTGCAGGTGGTGATGCCGCGAGTATCCTGCTCCGTGTCAGGCACTGATACTTTGTGTACATAAACTCGGAATCTTCAGGATCACTCCTTAAGGCAGGTTCTATTATTGCCCCATTTTACAGATAAGAAACTGAGGCTGAGAGAAGATAAGTAACTTGCCCAGGGCACGCACTATGTACCTAGGGGACTGGGATTTGAACCCAGGCATCTCTTCACCCTGACCCTAGGGACTCAAAAGCATATTTTGGCTCAAGGGAGGAGTGGGGTGCTCATTTGTTGAGCACCTACTGTGTGCCAAGCCTTATGCTAGACTCTTTCAGAGTTATCTTACTTAATCCTTACAACCATTGTTCCCATTTCACAGATGGGTTCGGAGGCTTCTCCAATGCCATAGTCCTCACACGCCTAGAACGCGCTCAGCCGCACCGTGGAGTCTCGGTCGCTGCTGTTCGCACAGGGAGGAAACTGAGCCAGGGAGGTTAAGTGCAGCCCTCAGGACTGACTGGGGAGGGGTGAGGCAGGGACTCACGTCCAGGCCGCAGACACCGAGTGCGGAGCAGGGCGCAGGAGGCCCGGGTGAGGAAGGGGAGGGACGCCGTTTCGCAGCGGCGGGTGCCCACAGTGGCCCCGCTGTCTTTCTGGCTGGGGCGGCAGGCGGGCGGGGGCGGAGGAGCCGGGCACCACAGCCAGCACCCCCTCGGCCAGGTCCCCGGCCGGCCTGCAGGGCACCGGGCGCGCGTGACTGTGAAGAAGTGGCCCTTCCCTGCCAGGCCCTGCTTGGCCGGGCAGAGGCAAGCGCGACGAGGGAAGGCGCTAAAGATAGCCGCCCCCAGCCTCCCGCCCTCACTGGCCACCACCCGGCCCGCCCCGCCGCAGGCTCTGCCCTGGGGCCTGAAGTCTGCCTCCCGCCAGTGTGCCCACAGCCTGGACATTCAGCCCGGGGCGTGCTGCAGGGACCTTGGTGGTGGTCACCGTGGTGCTGCCGCTGCTGAGCCACGCTGCAGGCACTCAGCCTCATCGCAGACGCTCCCTCAAGGGGAAGCAGGGCGTCCCTGTCACCCCCGGTCGGTCGATAGCTGGGGAGTCCAAACACAGCCCATCTGCACACCAGTGCCCCTGAGCACACCTTGACGTTGACGCATGGCGCCATTCCCAACCCTGGCCGGGCCTGGAAACACTGGCCTGGCAGCTCTGAGGCCACCACGACTCGTGCCGTCCCCACCCATCTGTGAGGCCACCTCCACCCGTTGTAAACGCCTTCGTCCTCGTCCCCCTTGTGTTGAGTGGGCAGAGGAGGGGGAGGAGGGGTTGGTCTTGCTGCCTCGGGGGAGGCCAGGCTGGAAGAGCACAGGTGTGTAAATGGACCCGCGCGGTTC